TGGACCGTGGGGGTGGTTTCTCATGATTTAACACTATACCCCTTGGTGCTGTCATCATGATAATGCGTGCTCATGACATTTGGTTGTTTAAAAGTATGTGGAACCTGTCCTCCTCCCTTGCTCCTGCTCTAGCCATATGAAGTGCCTCACTCCCCCTTTGCCTTCTGCCATAAGTGGAAGCTTCCTGAAGCCTCTCCAGAAGCAGAAACCACTTAGCCTGTGGAATTGTGGGCTAATACTCTTTTCTTTATAGATAGTCTCAGGTATTTCTTTATAGCGGTCTCAGAAGGGACTAACATAGCCTGTAGATTGTTTGCTTTTTTACTATTGAGTTTTGAGGATTCTTTATACATTCTAGATACCAGTCTTTGTCAGATGTGAGGTTTGTAAATATTTTTCCCAGGATATGACTTGTCTTTTCTTTATCTTATCAGGACTTGATGGAACAAAAGCATTTAATTTTGTTGAATTTCAAATTTCCAATTTTTGCTTTTGTAGATTTTGTTTTTGGTCACAAGTCTAAGAGATCTTTGCCTAGCCCTAGATCTTAAACATTTTTGCCTATATTTTTTGAAAAGTTTAATAGTTTCATGTTACCATTTAAGTACATAACCCATTTTGAGTTCACTTTTGCATAGGGTGTGAAGTTTATGGCATTATTTATTGTGTACCTATAGATGTATAATTGCTTCAGACCATTTGTTTACAAAGCCATCTTTTCTCCATTGAGTTGATTTTTTAATCTTTGTCATAAATCAATTTGGGCATATTTTTATGGGTCTATTTATCGGCTCTCTATCCTGTTCCACAGATCCATGTGTCTAACCCTCCACTAGTACCACACAGTCGTCATTACTGTAGCTTTATAATAAGTCTCAAAATCAGGTAGACTGATTTCCCCCATTTTATTCTTCCTTTTCAAAATTGTTTTAGATATTCTAGTGCTTTGTCATTTCCTATAAACCCAAAAATAATCTTACCTCTCTATATAAAATACTTGAGATTTTGATAGAAATTGCACTAAACTGGAATATTAATTTGGGGAGAACTGACATCTTTACTAGAGTGAGTCTTCTAATACATAAGCACAGAATGTCTCTTCATTTATTTAGATCTTCCTTGCTTTCTTCATCAGTATTTTATGTAATTTTCAGTACTCGCATCCCGTATGTGTTTTGCTAGATTAACACCTAAGTTTTTCTCTTTTTCTGAATGATTATAAATGTTATTGTGTATGTTTGTGGCTAATATATAGAAGTATAATTTATTTTTGTATATTTATCTTATATACTAAAACTTTACTGAATTCACTTATTAGCTTTAGGAGCTTTTTGGTAGCTCCCTTGAGATTTTCTGCATATATCATCTGCAAACATGGACAGTTTTATTTCTTCCTCTCTGATCTGTACATTTCTGTTTCATTTTACCTTTTTTGTCTTAATTTACTGAGTAGGAAGTTCCAGCATTGTGCTGAATAAAAGTGGTGATAGTAGGCATCCTTGCCTAGTTCTTAGGGAAGAACTTAGGGGAAAAGCACTCAGCCTTTCACTACTATGTATAATGATGTTAAGTTGTGGGGGGTTTGTAGATGTTCTTGATCAAGTTAAGGAAGCTCTCCTCTACTCCTAGTTTTCTAAGAGCTCTTTTCCCCCTACAGATCATATATTCGTCAAATAATTTTTTGGTATCAATTGATATCTTGGTTCATTTTGTGTTGCTATAAAAGAATACCTGAGGCTGGTATTAAAGAAAAGAGATTTATTTCATTCACAATTCTGCGGGCTGGGAAGTTCGAGAGCATTGTACCACATCTGGCTGGCTTCTGGTGGGAACAAAACATGGTAGAGAGGTGGAAAATCGAGCAGGAATGTGCAAAGTGATCAAATTGTGAGAGAGGAAGCAAAAGAGAGTTCTCTAGGAAGCCAAACTCCTTTTGACAACAACCCACTCTCTGGAGAGTGAGAATTTATTCACTCCCATGGGAAAGCATTAATCTGTTCATCAGTGACCCACCTCAATAACCCAGACACCTTCCACTAGGCCCCACCTTCCAACAACACCACATTCAGGATCAAATTTCACAATGAGTTTTAGCAGAAACAAACCACATCCAAACCATAGCAACTGATATGAACATGTGATGTTTTTTCTTCCTTAGCATGTTAATATGATGGTTTTCACTGATTGACTTTCATACACTGAACCAGATTGCATCACTGGAAGAAATCCCACTTGATTATGGTGATTATATTTTCTATATATTATGTATTATGGTCACCTTTTTATATATTGCTGAATTTTGTTTGCTCATATTTTGAAAGCAATTTTGCATTTATAATTATATTAGTCTATTCTCATGCTGCTAATAAAGACATACCAGAGACTGGGTAGTTTATAAAGGAAAGAGGACTCACAGTTCCACATGGCTAGGGAGGCCTCACAATCATGGTGGAAGGTGAATGAGGAGCAAAGTTACATCTTACCCAGTGGCAGGCAAGTGGGCATGTGCAGTAGAATTTCCCTTGATAAAACCATCAGATCTCATGAAACTGATTAACTATCACAAGAACAGCATGGGAAAGACCCACCCCCATGATTTCATTACCTCCCACTGGGTCCCTCCTGTGACATGGGGATTATGACAATTCAAGGTGAGAATTGGGATGGAGCACAGAGCCAAACCATATCAATAATCATGAAGAATAATGGTCTTGAGCTCTACCTCTAGAGGCAATTTTTTTCCCAATAAGTACTTCCAGGTCTTCTCTATTATTTATTGCCAAGTCAAAAAATAAGAAAAAAAAATGAATAGAATTTATTTCACAAGAGAGCCAATTCAAACTTAAAAATTCTGAGGTATGCATTGAGACTGATAGCATGCTTAAATTCATATCTAAAGTAAAAATACAGTATCATTTTGTATTATCGAAATTTATTTTGATATTCTTTTGTTAGCTTCTAAAACACATCAAATGCTAACAAAAATTTACTTAAATTCTCATTTTTGTGTTATGCTTAACTAATAAACACATAAACCAATCTACCTGATATGATTTGGCTCTGTGTCCTCATCCAAATCTCACTTAGAGTAAATTCTTAGAGTTGAACTGGAACTTCCTAGAGACCTGTTGAATGGCTTTGACCGAAATGCTGATAGTGATATGGATGATAAGGTCCAGGCTGAGGCGGTCTCAGATAAAGATGAGAAACTTGTTGGTAACAAGTAAAGGTCACTCTTGCTATGCAAAGAGATTGGTGGCATTTTGCCCCTGCCCTAGAGATCTGTGGAACTTTGAAGTTGGGAGAGATTATTTAGGGTATCTGGTGGAAGAAATTTCTAAGTGGCAAAGTGACAGAGTGAGGATCTGTCTCAAAAAAAAAAAAAAATGTTTCCTGATATGGGTTACTTTTCTGCCAGATAGTTACTAAATATATCTTACATTATTAAGTATCTCAGCCTTTTTTCTCTCTCAACTACTGTCAGTTTGATTGCTGATCTTTTAAAAATCAAATAGGAATACACTCAGAGCTTTTATATTCTGACTATATTGCAGAACAGTATCTTGAGTGAAGTTCTCTCTGGTCTTTCTAATCTATAGATTTTTTTTTTGTTAAACATGTTTAGGAGCTTCATAGCTATCCTAGTAAAAGTAAAGAACGCATACTTGACCAAAAACTATGATGAACGCAGTGTCGTCAAACACCATTTTAGACAAGCACAAATTATCTTGATAAAAATTTTTTTCCAAGCTTTTATTTAACAAAATCAGTATACAAAAACCTGCACATAATTAAATAATTTGGAGTTTGGACACATGTGTTACCATCACCACCATCCAGGTAATAAGCCTATTAGCCAAGCCACCTCCAATCTAATGTATAATGTTGAATAACCTGCCCTGTCACGGCAGTGGGCAGTGAGCTGTGGGCAGTAGAGCCAGGAAACAGATTATCACCTTCTAACCTCAGAGTGGCTGGTAACTTTTTATCTGGGGCTGTACTGTGAAATCCCCATCCCAACCAGGCAATTTTGAAAAACAAAATTAACCACTTTGAAGGCAAACCTGGCTCTGCATCTCTGGGCAAATTGCTTTATTTCTCTGAGCTCAGTTTCTTCATCTGAAAAGTGGGGATAATAACATACTTCCTCACAGGGCAGCTAGCAGATTAAGTGAGGTAGTATACAGCACATGTTGGCCCTCATGATGGGAAGCACATTTGTTTGGATTATTGTTCTCTGAGTTGCATAGGAAAGATAATAAAATTTTCTAATTTTCACATTAATGGCAGATAAATTTGATGCTCTGGACAATGTAATGCTTTCTTCTTGGTCATCTAGATGCAATGAATTTCAGCCGTTATCTTCTTCAGGCCATTTCCTATTTTCATATTCCTCCATCCAGGGATATCCCAAACTATAATTCCAGCAGAGACTTTCTCAGGAAGCTCAGTTTTTACATCTCACGAGGCCTCTTTGGAATTGTGAAATTCTGCCAAAATTGCACAACATTTGGCATGCAATAGTTTACCATGGGAGTGATGTCATCCTTAGCCTTTAAATGTTTAGATGATTGTATTCTTTAAGCAAATGTAAATTGCATGTCTGTTGTATGTGGAGCATTGTTAAAACTGGAGATCCATGGTGAATCATACTCACAAGCTCCTGCTTTCATGGACTGCAAATCCAGTGGAGGAGACCAATAAAAAGAAGGAAAAAGAGTGGCTGTGTGCGGTAGCTCAGGCCTTTAATCCCAGCACTGTGGAGGCAGAGGCGGCCAGATCACTGGAGGCCAGGAGTACCAGACCAGCCCGGCCAACATAGCAAAACCCCGTCTCTACTAGAAATACAAAAATTCGCCGGACATGGTGGCGCATGCCTGTAATCCCAGATACTCGGGAGGGTAAGGCAGGAGAATCACTTTAACTTGGGAGGCAGAGGTTGCAGTGAACCAAGATGGCACCACTGCACTCCAGCCTGGACGACAGCCAGACTCCATCTCAAAAAGAAAAAAGAAGAAGAAGAAAAAAAGAGATGACAAGGAAAGGAGGGGGAAGGGAGAGAGAAACGAAGGGGAAAGAAGGATGGAAGAAGAATGTGAAATTCTGCCGAAATTGCTCAACACTTGGCATGCAATAGTTTACCCTGGGAGTGATATCATCCTCAGCTGTTCAACGTTTAGATGAGAGATTGACTCCAGATGCGTGAGGAGGCCCTCAGTGCGCGTGCGCGGGGCGGGCAGGTGTGCGCTCACTTCCTCCTTGCCCCGACCCAGACCCGGTAGGTGGCACCATGGCTGCTCCCCCGCCTGCACCCCCGCCGCAGCCGGTCACCCACCTCATCTTTGACATGGATGGACTTCTTCTGGATACTGAACGACTGTATTCAGTGGTGTTTCAAGAAATATGCAATCGCTATGACAAGAAACACAGCTGGGATGTAAAGTCCCTGGTTATGGGTAGGAAGGCATCAGAGGCGGCACAGATTATAATAGATGTCCAAAGAGGATCTGGTGGAAGAAAGCCAAATGAAGTTAAAGGAAATGTTCCCCACGGCTGCGCTCATGGCAGGGGCTGAAAAACTCATCGTCCACCTGCGGAAACACGGCATCCCCTTTGCCCTGGCTACCAGCTCGGGGCCTGCATCGTTCGAGATGAAGACGAGCAGACTAAAGAAGTTCTTCAGCTTGTTTTCTCACATCGTGCTGGGAGATGACCCCGAAGTGCAGCGTGGCAAGCCAGACCCCGACATCTTCCTAGCGTGTGCCAAGAGGTTCTCTCCTCCTCCAATGGAGAAGTGCCTTATCTTTGAAGATTTTCCCAATGGGGTGGAGGCGGCTCTGGCAGCTGGGATGCAGGTGGTCATGGTTCCAGATGGAAACTTGAGCCGAGACCTGACGTCAAAGGCCACCGTGGTGCTGAATTCCCTGCAGGACTTCGAGCCCGAGTTGTTTGGTTTGCCCCGCTATGAGTGACAGGGAGGGCCTTGCTGTGCCCCGCCCCAGCCCACGGTCGTGGTCCACACTGCTTGGGGAAAGGGAAAGGAAATCAGCAACTCTCAAATCCCAACCTGCACAGTGATTTTAGCTTCCTGAGATTGATGTTTCCATCCTGCATTGGCTTGCCCAACTCTAATGTGTTGATAAAACGTGACTTGACAATTGAGAGAAACACAGTAGACAGAAACAAAGCCCAGAACAAAGATGAAACTTGAATTACCATCTCAAAAATTAAGCTGATGGAGTATGTGATAAAGTGAATGTACATGTATACATATACATACGCACCTCTATATATACACATGTATATCAGTATGTTAATATGCATGTGGGCATTACATGTATATGTATGTAGATACATGCATTTATGTATATGTGAAATATATACTCTTCCAAAACAAAATGGAACATCATTTCTCTTTTATTCTAGTTTTTCTGAACACTGGCTGGGAAATGTAAACTGTGTATGCATATAAGTATATGCTTTATAGATGCATATGTAGTGCATATGTTTATATCAGCTGCATCACTCTCCTCAGTGTTGATGTTAGTATGCAGTGACAACTGATAAAGGGAGATGGTAGTTCTGCTTGGCTTTCAGTCTCAGTGGGAAAGCCCTGTTTTTGATGAACACTAAGAAGTAGTTCTCCTTGTTAGCTAACATTTAAGTTCTTTTTGTGACCTCAGAATGTCTCTGGATCTTTCTTCATTGACTGACTCTGAGCCACATCATCCATAGTTTATTGTTAGTATGAATACAACTGTAACATTTACCTGGTATCTACATCCTTATCTACATTGGAGAATGCTTTCTACCTGAGAACAACCATTTGCCTCCTTTAAGAACACTGATGTCCTGTACTTTTTGGGTAGAAATACAATTTGATTTCAGAATGTATGCTTGGTGATTCTGAGTGACCGGGAACACTTTTGGAATCATTTATCAGACATGGAACTTCTGTGAATAATTGCTTTTACAGATTTAGTCAATCTTTAAAATTTGTTTATGATTTGCCGGAGAAAAGCAGTGATAGCCATGGAAATTCGGAGTTAAGGAGCGCTGCTCCATTGTGGTTCAGCTCTTCTCAGTGGCCTCTGCCCTTTGATGTCCTTGAGCATGTGTGTATGTGGTGTAGTGATTGTCTGTGGATGACAGGCCCTGGCGATTGCATCAATTTAGCAAATTTATTTCCTCATTCCCAATGACCAGTATACATGTCTTCACTTTGAATGCTTCTCTAAACCAGTTGTAATGTCTTACTGTTTCCCTAACAAATTGAATTAGTTTAATAAAATCTTTTGACACATGTTAAAAGAAAAGTTTAGCTGAATGTATTCTTTAAGCAAATGTGGATTGCCTGTCTGTTGTATGTGAAAAAGTCAGGTATGAAAATGTCCTCTATTGAACAAGATAATATGAAAGAAATGGCAGTGGGCCTATGTTTGGGTGGCCAGTGGAGACCTTTTTGAGGAGGTGACATTTAAATTGAATTTCAATGATTAAGAAAGGGACCAACAAAAGCAAGATCAGTGAAGAGAACATTCCCAGAAGAGGAAAGCACCAGGGGAAAGAACTGGACAGAGGGTGGGAGTAGCTCCGTATGCTGCAGGCCAGGGGGATTAGAGAGGAGAGGACTGCAGAGTTGAGGGCACTCAGGTGGAGAGATAGCAAGGCCAGAGCTTGTAAGGGTGAGGAGTAGGGGCTTAATTCTAAGTCTGAAGAAGAGCCACCAGGAGTGATAGGATCTGTTTGCTGTCTGGCCACCCGATGTTGCCTTATTCATGGTTGAAGTTGGTTCCCACTCATCTAGCTAGGGCACTACCCTGGACAAAAGTGGTGGGCACATACCTGGGTATCTAATTTATCAGTCCACATTGTCACTGGCTCCCTTCTCTTTGGTCTAAAACTGAGATTAAGAGCAGGAAGGCATTAGCTCTTGGTTAAAAAAAAAAACCCTCTACCCGCACTGCCCCACAGCTTCATTAAAAAGAAACTCCAACTGGGTTCACAGAAGTGACAAAACATATATTGTGGGGGTCATTAGCAATGTTAACTCACTTTGAACTGCTCATGGGCAGAGCCATGACTTTCCCCACACACAGGCCAGTGCCTGAGTCCATCAGTTTCCATAAGCATTTGTTCTTCATTTGATAAATGAGTAGATAGTTATATTTTAGGGTATGATATTCATTCATTTAACAGATATTTACTGGGTACCTAATATCTGCCAGGCACCATTCTAAATTCTGTGATAGAGAACTGAACAAAATAGGCAAATATGTCTGCCCATGAAGATTACATTCTAGTGAGATGTGGGTGTGTCATGACTTTTACATATTCCTGAGTATCCCAGGTTGTGATGGCGGTGGTGGTGGTCCTGTTGCTGCCGGTCTGCATATGTGTGTGTTTATGTGTGTGTACATGTATTTCTTGGGGCACAGGAGGTTTATAGAGGGTAGAATAGTGGATATTAACATAAAAAAGTTGACTTTTAGAGAAGCTACTAATAGCCAGCTGAAAGCAGCGGAGCATGCTGTGTCTACTTTCAGCCCTGTATGCTCTGATTGTAGAACAGAAGGAGCACTAGAGTCTGGAGCACCACAGAGTGAGTACTCCACAGAGCCAGCATTCAGGTGGCCTTGAGGACAGCGTTTTCAGTGTCATCTGAAGGTCTAGCTGAACAGAACCTGAATTTCCTTGTTTCAGCTAGGGCTCCTAGATCCCAATCATGAATGAGAACCTGGCAGAGTGCAGTGGCTCATGCCTGTAATCCCAGCACTTTAGGAGGCTGAGGTGGGAGGATCACTTGAGCCCAGGAGTTCAGGGCTATAGTGAGCTCTGATGGCACCACTACACTCCAGCCTGAGTGACCACAGTGAGATCCTATTTCTTAAAACAAAACAACAAAATAAGAAACTTCTATAGCTAATTGGAGCAAAAAAAATATTTACTGAAGGATATTTGGCACCTTATGAGAGAACAGTGATGGAGACTATACAGCAAGAATGATGCCAAAATTGCATGCAGGACTGCTCCATGGACACCAGAGGACAGCACTGAGTACAAATCCTGCCGCTCACACCACTGACACAGGAATCGGACACCATCAGGACTGGCAGCTCAATGTCTCAGCCCAACCCTTGCCACAACTGAGTTTCCAAAACTTTTCTAAAATTCAAGAATAACACAGAATAAAATAGAATTATCACAGACCACACTTCCATATAACCGCCACCCTGGTCAAGAAATAGAACTTTGACTACAGCACCCTAGAAGTCCCCTCCCATGCCCCTCCCGTGCCCAGTTCCCACCCCTATCCCTATCTCTCCTCAAAGGCAGAATAGCTCTTCCTGTCCTTCTCTTCTGAGTAGAAAATCTTGTCTCTGATTGGAGCAGCTGGGGAAGGTGAGTTTCTGACACTTACACCATAGAGACAAAGATTTAAAATAATTTCCTCAAGGATAGAAAGGGTTTTCATAGGTTTTGAACAGCTTTATAGTATCACAAACTGTTATCATGTTCTCCAATGGGTGAATAAACATTTCAGCCTCATTAGGGTTGAACCACATGATATTTTAAATTTTGTAGGTTAAAAGTGGTTGAATATCAACAGTTTCTTGTGGTTTAACAAGAAAAGAGTGTCAGCCAAAGCACAGGAAATGGAAAGCCATCTGAAAGAGCTGAATGAGGAAGTGCCCAAGAAAGGTGAGAAATGCTTGAAGCCACCCTCAGTTAGTAATGTGAGGCTTTGAACCTGTAAGTTACCTAGATTCTTATCCAGCATCAGTTAGTAATGTGAGGCTTTGAACCTGTAAGTTACCTAGTTTATTACCTGTAGCATCTCTCACTTCTATATGAGAAGTTTGTGGAACTGAGAGAAGTGGTCTCTGTGTGCATGTGTGTGTTGCTTAGTAGTGAGCACTGCAAGAGAAGGAACACTGGGAGGAATTTAAAGGGACTGGCTGTGAAACCTCAAGACAGAAAGGAAGCATCACAGCTTGGTAGGTGCCAGGTCAGTAGAGAACTGTCCGAGCAAGACAGAGCTACAACCTTGTTTGGGGCCTTCTTCGAAGGCAGCAGGGTGGGTTGTACTACATTTTATAACTCTTCTGAGTGGCTGTGGTTAAAATACACATCCTTAATTCAAGCAAATCATCAGGTGGCACAAAGACAGGCTATGATTACATTCAGCTCAACATTGCTTAGTAGAGGAAAAATAGAAATGACCTACATGTTCAATTATGAGAGATTTTTAATATAAATTATTTATCCATGTAATGGAATGCTAAGTAGTATCTAAAAATAGTATTGTAGAAGAATATTTAATGATAAGTAAAGCTGTGGAGGAAGCAGTATAATGATTGAAAGTTTAGACTCCAGAGTCAAAATGCTTTGAGTCTTGGCTCTACTACTTACTAGCTGAGCTAAGGTGGGTACTTCTTCACTTGAGAGGTTAGAAGGCTTATTATAGGTAAAACATGCAAAAGAGTTTCTGGAACATAAGAGACACTGTGTATATGTCAACTATTATGATGATTATTGTTGTTGACTGAATGTTTGTGTTCCCCCAAATTCGTATATTGAAATCCTAGCCCTTAATATGATAGTAGTAAGAGGTAACTAGGTCATAGGTAATTACGTATGGGAGGTAATTAGGTCATAAGGACAGAGCCCTTGTGAATAGGATTTGTGCCCCTAGAATACGAGACAAGAGCTGGTTTCTTCTCTGCCATGTGAGGATACAACCAGATGACCATCTGCAGATCAGGAAGTGGCTCTCTGCAGACACCAGATTTACCAGTATCTTGAGCTTAGACTTCCAAACCTCCAGAACTGTGAGAAATAAATGTTTATGGTTTAAGCCACCCAGTCTAGGATATATTTGTTATAGCAAGCCAAACTGACTAAGACAATCATATTCTTAAGGAAACCAACAAGGTTTAAAAACATAGTATAAACTATTTAATCATGTGTATTTACTTTTGTTCCCTTACAAAATCTCACTTAAAAAGGCTGGGCATGGTGGTTCACATCTGTAATCCTAGCACTTTGGGAGGCTAAGATGGGTGGATCACTTGAGGTCAGGAATTTAAGACAAGCTGGCCAACATGGTGAAACCCCGTCTCTACTAAAAATACAAAAATTAGCGAGGTATGGTAGTCCATGCCTATAGTCCTAGCTACTCAGGAGGCTGAGGCAGGAGAATTGCTTAAACCCAGGAGGCAGAGGCCGCAGTGAGCTGAGATAATGCCACTGCACTCCAGCCTGGGTGACAGAGTGAGACTCCATCTCAAAAACAAACAAACAAACAAAAAACTCACTAATGGAACAATAAAGGAATTGGGAAATCAAAGTTCATGAGGACAGAAGGAAAATGGAGATGCAGCATATACATGTTTTGGCCAAATGCTAAATGAGTGAATGTTAAAATCAGTATTTGTCCAAAACCAAGGGGAACACCAAATGGCACCATCATTTGATTAAATTTCTGGGATATGAGAATAAATATAAAGTTTCAATTAATATTTCAATTTTATTAGGAAACATTTTAGTAATCAAATATTAGAAATTTGACATTGTTGGGCAGAAACCCAATTTTCTCAGCATTGTCAGCTGCGGAATGCTCTGAGGGTCACTATATTGCACATTGGCAATACTAAAGGCATTGCTGGCTTTTAACTGAACTGGGTAGAGTGGAAGATTTTAGTAGCAGTAGCAGTAGTAGCAGTAGCAGTAGTAGCAGTATTTTGGCTAGCTCTCCCAGTGTGGGATAATTACTGATTGCAGTGCTAACACTAAGTTATCAAGTCGTTTTCCCTCTCTAATAGTAACTGCCTAAACCAGAGAGTTAACTCCTCTTTGGTTTCAGCAATTAGAACTTAAATGATAGTGATAATGCAATTTCATTGAGGCAAATCACTTCATTAAAAAGGTGCTTAAATATTTTTAGAAATAGATTTAATATCACTGCCTTCCTTTGTTTTTCTTTTTTGGGGTAGTAGGCGGGCAGATAGGCATTGGATGGTTTATCACCTGAGATTTTCCTTATATCCTGATCTAGAAATGTGGCAATGGATAGATGCCGTTGGCTTTGAAAGTCAGAAAAAATCCTCCTTAAATTTCCATTTGTATCTCAATTTTTGTTGTATGCTCTCTAATTCCAGCATCTATCCTGGAATAGAAGGATAGATGGATCTTCACAACAGGTAACATACAAAAGATACTTGCGCTCTCAAGAAACATCATTTTGGTATGCTCTGCAGCATACTCCAAGACCCAAGCTGCTTTTTCTGCAAACAACTGTTGGATTTTGGATCTACTAGAGTGATAGGAAAAAAAGTTCCTGAATTATAATCTTCTCTGTGTTGTTTACAATGTGCTAATTCTGTATTTTGTATTTGACACTTGGACATGCCATGTGTGACCACTTGGTGAATTAATGTTAATTATTGTTGACCTCTCCTTCTATTTCACGTGGCTGCCAAGAGCCTTCTGGATCTCACACAGTTAAAATCACATTAAACCTAACTGAGGCGACGTTTATATAATGGAAAATTACTGAAGGAAAGTGTTAGGCAATTAATTGTCAACGACAGTGTGACAGCCATGATGGAGGCTATTGGTGATTTAGGAACCACAAGCATCTGATGTGTTGGTCATTGGCTCAGTTGTGTGTTCAGACAGCAATGATAGCACAGAGCAAGGTAATGGGAGTATTAGAAGTGGAGAGTGAGAGAGTAGGCTCCTCGCCTCAATCTTCATCTCAATCTACCTGAATACAAGGGATTTGGAACTGCCTTGTCTACTCATTCCGCTTGTTGATTTAAGATGGAATGACAACTGTACAATGTTAATGAAGCTGTTTGAACAAAAACAAATCTTAATATTGATTTTGTATGTAACATTGCCAGCCTCGCAGGACCAAAATTCACCAACTGATACGCCTAGCTTTTCGGTAAGAAACTTTTGTACCTAGAACTCATAGCTTTAGCAAATTGCCAACAATATTTTCTGTTCAATTATTGCAAATAGTTGATAGTACATGGCAAGTTTCCATTTAAATTGTTGGCCTCTTCTTATAGACTCAGAATTATAAAGTGTTTCAATTAAGGAGTCTTGGGAGTTTTGCTATTTTGAAGTATTAGTACTAGAAAAATTTATTAATTAGTAGAAATATTTCTCCTTTTCTTCATTTTTTTATTTTTGATTATGCTTGGATAAAAGATGTTTTATGATGCATGCTACAGACCAGGATTCATTGTTTTTATTTTCTTGTAAACATTTTAGGTGACAAAGTTGATACTCTGCTTCCTTCTCATTTTCACATGAGCAATTTGAAAACAAAACATTTTTTCTTTTTTTTTTAATCTGAAAACTGTAAGCAAACTTAAAAGATTTATTATTGTGTATATGGGGACTATTTGCACCACCAAGGTAGACAGAGCTATAAATACAAATGTAAAAATACAAAGATATTAATGTATTTGAAAAATCAAGAAGAAAAAACAAATTTCATAATAGAAAAATGACAAGAAATACAGTGAATAGGCCTTTTAAACACAGCAAGAAATACAGTGCTCATTACACATATGATGATAGGTTAAACCTGTACTGGTTTGTTATAGATGCTGTTATAGATTTCACGAACTTGGTTGCTTAAAACAACAAGCATTTGTTTCTTTTTGGAGGGTGACTAACCAGTTAGGGTGAAGTTTTTTTTATTATTATTATACTTTAAGTTCTGGGGTACATGTGCAAATCGTGCAGGATTGTTACATAGGTATATATATATGTCATGATGGT